TCTGACAGAAAAGACTTTCATCCTCAGTGTAAGTGTCTTGAGGGAAGAGTGGTGTCAGTAGTAATAATAAAATGATAGAGATATTTTCTTGTAGACTTGCTAGTGCAGATTTTTGTCTGAACCTCCTTAGTTGTAACAAAAGGAATATCCTAAAGTCTGCACAGGTACATCCTTTTGGCAATACCATCACATCAATGAATTTCTGTGAACATATTATCTGAGACAGTTGTAACCTCTCTATTCCCAAGCCAGATTGCTAATTACCTCCCTTTGCTTTATATAATGAACTTCTTTCTCTGTGGAGGGCTTTTTGACACAAAAATTTGTTTCTCTCACACCAACAGCAATCTGACATTCAGATTTGTCCCTCCAAGGGCAGTGATTTGGTTTTTACATATCTGAGATCAGTCATATGAGGCAGTACCCACTACCCAAGCTACTGCCATCACCTCCTGACCCAAGTGGTTCCTGGGTTCAAAAGTATAGAGGCAATGCCTGCACTCATTCATGCCCGTAAAAGAATTCAAAGGCATTTTGCTAAAATGATGGAAATCTGGGTTATGTTGGCCTTTAGGACCCAGGATTTTCACAGGTTGTTTCAGTACCTGACATATTTCCCAATGACAGATGCTGTAGCTCTATATTCAGCATGTTTCAGTCTCCTCTGGGAACAACAGGGTGCTTCTCCTTCTCAGGCATTTTCTTGGCCTTTTTGATAAATGCTGTCTAAAAATACTGCATTTTGAAATGCTGACAGGTTTGTAATGGCAGACACTAGTTCTGCCTTTGAGGACTGGCTGTGGCCATGGTGGCAACAGAGAGGAGGCAGATAAAGGTTTGCAGATCTGTCCAGTTGCACAAACCCACAAAGCTGCTCTTCCCTCCCTCTGCCCAGGCAAAGCCATCTTTACTCCCTACCACCCTCTACTTTTTTATTATTAAAATCTCATGGATTTTTTTCTTTTACATTTGTTTATAGAAAATCCACTCTCCCTCAAGAGCAAACTTTTTCCCTTCCTATCATACTAGTGCCATGTTCTCTCTTCAGCAAGGAATTGTTTCATCTTTATCCTTCTTTGAATATACATTTGGCTTAAAAGTCACAAATTATCACTTGCTGGCATCTTTATTTTGTATCAGAAGAGGATATATTTCATTAATTGAATTTCTGACTATTTTTCTGAGTAATTAAACGGGTCTATAACCCCACTGTTGCCTAGCAATGCTGGCACAGTCCCACAGTAAACACACCGCTGCTTAGTAAAACATTTCAGAAGACTGTCAAGAAGGCAGTGGCAATGACAAGCTTGTACACAGCTGTGATTGAAGGCTGTTTAGGACAGTTTTCAGAAATTATCTTGGTGCTGTTTGGCCCAGGAGCATTCATCAGTGGAAGAACACCAGTATCTAACATTTGAGTCACCAGCTGTGTAAGGAGTGGTGAGGATACTCGAAGTAATGAGGACACTGAGGTTTAGAGCAAGGTATTGGCTATGTCAGCTTTGTGTACCTGACATTCACCACTTAGGATGGCAATGATGCAATCCAGTGACACAGTTTGAGGTGCAAGCTTGCCAAAAGCAGCCAGGGAATGTGTGATCTGCTGAGATCATTGCTGAAACCAGCTGACTTCCATGCACTGACCTCTACTACAGCAATTCAAATTACATGGCAAATGAGGATTTCCAGATGCTGTGGTCATGGTATAATTGCATCTGAGATGATACAAGGGTGAGAAGGATTCATCTACCAGTGGCAAAAGGTCTGCTGGCAATTCATTATCTCTGTACCAGGTTTATAGTGCTGGCATGTTAGGGCTTTGTGCAAAAAGAGGTTTGTAAGAAAAACTGCTGTGAAGGTGTGAAAAACATAAAGTCTAGTTATTGAAGGTGTGATGAGCATAAGAGAACAGATTAATGAGCAGCACATTTCGTGTCTAAATCACTAATAAAGCTCTGCACTAGGTACTTGTGTCTCTGGAGAATTTACAGCAATCCTTTGTCAGAATTTGTAGGTTTGCTGCATTTTCCCTTCATGCTGTGTGATCACCAGCACAAAGCACATTATTTATTTGGTGGCCCTATGGAAAATCTGCAGGACAAATCCTCGAGACATGTGTGGTCATACTGAGAGAGCCTGTTCCTTTGCAGAGATGGGGTAAGAAACACCCTCTGGAGCAGGCAGCAGAGGACTGAAGGATACTCTGAGAAAAGTGAGTCTGGTACTTTTAGGATTGAAAAGACAAGAGATATTTCTAAAACCTGAGGAGGGCATGAGGGCATTGAGTGGGAGAATGTTTCTATAATTAAAGGACATTGAGAAATCTGACTAAATTTGGCTCACACAGGCAGCTGGGTGCATTGGCTTTGGTACACACGTGTGTGTTGTGTTCAGGGGCACGTGCTTGGAGGCTCATGCCAAACCCTCCATGGCAATTCTTAAATTCAGCACAGGGAGCTCTTAAAACATACTGCTGGGGGAGAGGAGCTAAGGCTGCCAGCACAAAAAAACCTGTGAAGTTTAAGCCTTATTTAAAAGCCTCTGCAGTCACCTGAAAAACCTCACTCAATGGCTCTCAAGGGAATAACAATTCTGAGTTGTCTTTAAAGCTCCTGAAGTACTTAAGGCTATAGATATATTTGTAGGTAATGACACACAGTGGGTAGAGACCTGTAGCATGGAAAAGACAGAGCTGATATCCACATTCTGTATTTCTGGAGACAGATCTGATTCTGCTGCATAAACTTTGCCATGGTTCCTGAGCCTGAGCACTGGCTGGTAGCTGCATGGTGTGGGATGCATGGAGGGCAGCCCTGGAGAGTACTTTTGGGCCGAGCACCAGCCAAACAAAGGTTCATTTCCCTGTGGATCTTCATCACAGGTTAAAAATCACACTCCTGATGCAAACTAAAAAGCTGATGTGGGTATAAGCTGAAAGTGTGTTGTCTGGGACTGCCAAATTGCTTAACCTGAAGGAAACCACCAGCATGCTGTCCCATCTCCCACCACAGCTGCAGCATGCACCTCTGAAAGACTCTCTGATGCACTGAAGGAAGCTGGCCGTGAGAAGAGGGGAATGAGGAGACAGCCGAGGTGCTGAGGTGCTGTCCTTTCTGCCTCCCTTTTCTCTTTAGAGCACTGAGATTGGCAGGAGGGAGGGCAGCCTCTGCTCCCTCCCCCTCCTGAGGAAAGCTGAACCCTGATTTAGCACCTGCTTGGCAGATGCTCAGACCATCAAAAGCCGGAGGATGCCCTGAGGTGAAGCTCTATTGATGTGTAATACTTTGAAGCAATATATATTTCATTACTGTAGAGAGAGAGAATATGAATCAATAATTCAGGAGTAAAGAAAGGGAAAGAGAAAGGGATCGGTTGGAACCACTGCTGGAGGATGCATTTCACTTTCCGAAACACTTAAAATGTGTGGTTCTTTCAAAGACCACCTTAATTATATACCTACAGTCTTTTCAGTAAAGTCTTAAAGCCACTGTACTCATCAGAGGAGCAATCATTCCTTACCCCATCCCCCTAATCAATGGACAATATTTAACATAATGTTTCAAACCACAGACTTCCTTCTGGAGATTGTCTCTGATCCAGCCTCTCTCTGGAGGCAGGGGAAGAGAGAAGAGAGAGAAAATGGGGCTGGGAAATGCTGTGAGAATAAAGAGCAAAGCAGTATTAATTGAACAGCAGTCATAAGGAGGGAGGCAATGTAGTTACACTAATTTAATTTTGCACTAAGCCTTGAAGAAGAAGATAAATGAAAGAAGAAAATGAGGAGATAAAGGACTGCTGATACAGAAAAAATAACCCTGATTTTCCAGTGAAGCAAAACAGGTTGCTTTTTGTGAAACATTAAGCTGAAATCTCAATTTCCAACTAGAAATATCTGGGATTTCTGGAATTTCAAAGGGCTTAGAAGAAATCTATTTTGCAAAACACACGCCTATTTGCTTAGAAATAGTGTCCCAAACTGTTTATTTCTCAAAACATTTTTTTAAATTGTTGAAATATCTTGTTTCCAAAGGCATGAATTTCAAATCAAAATCTTCTGATATGGGGGTTAAAATATCTTTATCACACTAAACTTTAGTGATGGGTTTTGAATGTGTAAAATGGTGGCAGCAAAATGAAACACTTTGTTTATTTATTTATTTTAATATAGACTGAAGCTGTTTCTTCATATACTTTGATTTCGTCCTGAAAAATTGCATGAAAAGTTTTCCTAATCTTTTTCTCCCTTTGTGGTAATCTGTGCAAGAAGAGCAACATGACACGTTACTTGAAGTGGCAGGACATTGGACTGGTGCACCTTTTCTTCCATGGACTGCACTGAAAACATTTATCTTGTCCAAGTGAGAGAAGTTGGTTTTAAAGACAAAACTTAATATTACCCCTGTTTAAAACAGGAGTACCAGTTCTTATGATTCATTTGTAAAACTTGCATCTCTGTGAGCACTCATTTGTTCAATAAGAAACAGAACAAAGGCTGGAATATCTCTTTAGATTTTATTGCAGGAGAAAAAAAAAAGAAGAAGAAAAAAGAAGAAATAGCCTGAGGTATATTTTATTTGGCAAATATAAAAGTACAGGCATAAGTAGGTTAACTTCAAGCTGACAAGGCACAGTTAGTCATTAATTAATTAAGTTCACAAATTAACTCCTGACAGAATTTCCGCTATCTTTAGCAGCATTTGGTTGCCACTCCAGGTGATTTAGCAGGAGACTTTTTAAAGTGAAATAACAGATAAGAATAGAGGACTTTTAGTAGTTCAGTATTTGTCACAGCTGTAATCAAGCTGACACACTTAGATACTAATTATGGGGTGTTTTCTGTGGCTTTCCCAGCTCCTCTGGCATACTGGGCTGAGTGGTCATGGCCTGACTGCCCCTAGGACGGGGAGCTGATCAATCCCAAGGGTCCTACCTGCCTCTGTGGTTCACCTGAAGCCACGTATTTGCTTCTTCCAGTGCTTATTCACTTAATTTCTTTGTAGATTCATTCACAGGACTCATCAACATAATGACTGACATCATTTGGCGCTACACTGGAGATTTTATGGCCCCTGATATCGTTTGCAGGGTCGTTCGCTACTTCCAGGTATGAAAACTCCTGCTTTGTGTCCTCATAGCAGTAAACTCTGACAAAAACGCTGTGTAGAATTTTTTCTAGTAACAAAAGTGCTAAATGTTGAAAATGTTCATTTAAAGGTCATACACATTAAAGCATATTAAATATTTCAAATTTTGTGGACAGGGAAAAGCAAAAATACCTGGGTGAATATACAAGGAGGTGGGGGTTCCTTTTTTTTTTCCTTTTTTTTTTTAGTAAGTTTTGAAATATTCCCAGTTCAGAGTTCTCACTGACATCACCTTCTGCAATAGATGTGTCTCAACTGTTGTTTCGTTATACTTTCTGCCCCAGGTGGTCCTTCTCTATGCGTCCACTTATGTCCTCGTGTCACTAAGCATAGACCGGTATCATGCCATAGTTTACCCCATGAAGTTCTTGCAAGGAGGTAGGAGAATTTCAGTACCTTGTTATTGCTGTAGACATTATTGGGTAATTTTTTAGTTCTCAGACTTCTTAACCTTGTTGCTATGAATTATTCATTCCTGCTCTAGCTACATTTGAACTCTGTTGCAGTTTTCCAAAGGACGAAGTAGCTGTGGTTTCAAGATTTATTAAACTCCACTTAGCCCTCAGCAGTTCTTATAAGTATTGTGTTAGCAAAGAATGAAATGACATTTTAAAAAGTATAAGGTTTTCATTATATTCCAGCACTTTTAGAATGTTTTAATAGGCAAAAACTGTCCCATGTTCCACTACACTGACTGTAGGAGCTGCAACATCTATACTGTCTATTTATTCACATTAAAAATAATTTGGATGGAGTGTGTACTGAGAATTCACACAACAGTTTGATATGTCTTCAAAACAGATAGCATAAAAGTTTGGATATCTACTGTTTCTTATAATTTCCTCTGTTTGTTTGGTTTCAGGTTTTTTTTTTTTTACATTCAGATATGTCCTGGCCTCTTAGCAGTACAGTTTAAACAAAATTCTTTCTTTCCCACAGAGCCAAAGTGGGGCGTTAAGTACATTGCACTGAGTGAAGAAACAGAAATTGCAGGTGGGGAGGAAGAAGAACAGTTACAAGAACAGTGAGGTCTGGAGGATGTGCTTTAATCAGATGCAAATATCATTCTTGTTTTGGAGTAATGGTGGCTTTTGCCAGACTGCTCTGTTCAGGGGATCAGATTAATGCTCCTTCCTGGCCTTAAAAACCTGAGAGTCAATCACAGCTGAGACAGTGGCGCAGCTTTGGCAGATGTTAAGGTCTGAAAGCTTCAAAACCTCGTATGAAATTTAGCTTTATATTCCCCAGCATGCAGATCAAGTCTTTCAGAGCTGGGAGATGGATATCAAGGTTTTCCCAGCAGGGTTTGGGAGGGGTGGCATCGCTCTACAGGTCCTTCAGGAGGGCTCATGAACCAGGCAGGGCATGGTCTCATAAACCTGCTGGCTGAGCAGGATGAGCTGTGCAACGGACCCACTGGCATTTCTTATTCATTCATGGTACAGGAAAAGCAGTGCTTGTTAAATTACTGCCTGGGTATAGTAAAGAATTTGATGGGTAATCTTTGAAAAACACTTTGAAGTTGAAAAAGAACCCATGAAAAATCACTTGAAATCTTCATAAAAGCCTTTTTAAAATCCCATTTCCTATACCTAGACCATAAAGGTTTTTTTGTTTTATTTTTTTTAAACTGGAGAAAAGCAGATGTTGGACCAGTTGTGAGTAGCAAAATCATCAGTTGGGTGCAGCTCTGGTCAGGGGAAAAAGGTCACAAGCAGAGAGAGCACTGACAAAACCCATCTGCCTCTTGCAAGGTCTGGCTACACACTGATGCACAAGCAAAGAGCATGTTCAAAGGAAAAAGGAAGATAGCTGTAAATCCAAAAGAAGGCTCTAGAGAGGTATATTTAACATAGCAACTTTCTGGAATGTATATAAAATAATCACCTTTTGCACCCAGATATTCCTTGCAGAGGTGCCGTGTGGGACGCTTTTGAAATGCCCTCTTAGCTATTCTACAGATGGAGAACAAAGAGATTTACAAATCTTTATCATTGGTGATGACACAGAGGAACTTCATGAATAGTTCTGAGTCAACCTGTGGCAAATTTCTTTGCAAAATGAAACACTCATCCCCCCAAATTCTTCAATCAAGAAACAAAAGAGTTCTTTCTTCTTATTGATTTGGAAAATTATGTTTCCATGTAGCCTTGAAATATCATTTTAGAAGAAAAAAAAAGTCAAACATTCCACTTTGAAAATGTCAAACAATTTTTTTTAATTGTGGTTTAGTTACTAGCCTCAAGTCTTGTTAAAAAGTATTTGCAATGAGCTGTTCTTTGCTTGGTTTTTAAGAAAACAAACTTCAACAGCTGAATATTTTATACTTCTCAAACACATAAATGACCAGAGAAATTGCAGTATGGGAAAGAAATACACCTTTTAATCCTACAGCTTTTATTTTGAGACGCCCAATTCTACAGTCAAAAGGGTATTAAGAAAAAATTGTAAAATAAAGATCAAAAAGAAAAGAAACTGAGAAGTTATAGCAGAAAATATTTTATTAATATTTCATCATGTTGGAAAGGTATACGCAAACAACATGCAAATAAACAACAGGTGAAAAAATAACTTCTCAAGAAAATAACAAAACCCAAAAAGGTGTAAAGTGATCCTTGTGTGGCTTTGGGCTGAAAACAGTGCTGAAACTGAGATTCTGGAACAGCTCTGCTCTCTCTGGATTTAAAACCTAATTTTAATGTGGCACTCAATTTATCAAAGGATTGCACTGCATTGACATTCTTGACTGCGGGAAGCAAAGTTTCTTCCAAGAGGTGTCCCCCTGTCCCACATTGCTGGGAGCAGAGAGATCTACTCAAACCCATTGCCACAGTGCAGGGATGGTGGGAGCAGATAAAGGGGACAGTCACAAGGAAACGTCTTTTAGGAGAGTCAGAGCCAGAGCTCACAGCCGAGATTCCCACTCCAATCCTGGGAATTAGCCTGGGCCACCACAGTTTGAAAAGCTCTCAAGGAAAATGCTCAGACTGGTTCAATAGAATATTGCATTTCAAAAGTTACTTGTTTGATTTCATTCATAAGTGATACAGCTCTAGTTATGGGATTTGCTGGCATTTTGAGCATATTAGAGCAACTATTAAAAATGGAGCATAAAAAAAGCCCTGCTGGTGAGGCAGAAAATTAACATTATTCCAACAAGACAAAGATCTGCTTACCTATCAGTGCCCTGGAAAGCCTTTTAGACTAGCAAGGCTATATTCTACCAAATTCAAGGGACATTTAAAAATAAAAATAAATCAACATTACAGGAAAAGTGTTATAAAACACAAATAAATACCTCTCTTTTCCAACCCAAATTGCCCAGTTCTGTTCAATATACAGTACAAAAAAATAGGGTTTCTTTTCCAGCTCTGATCTTTTTTAGTTATAAAAACACTGAAGCTTGCATGATTGTAATGTAAGTAGTTAGCCACATTTGAAATGCCCTTTCTGTGAGGAAATATTTTTTGAAATTTATTTTTAATATTCCTTTTGCTAAGTTTATTCTGTTATGCTTTGGGAAATTTCACAGTTCTCTTTTGCCCGTACAATATTTATAGCCTTAATCTAACCCTCTCACTTACGCAGATGTCATCAGAGTTCCCTTAAGCCCTAGATTAGCAAGACCATACTTTCCTGAACGTGGGTAGCATTTAAAAATGAGCAGGATAACTGAGTATTTGCAACTGATGTTTTATAAAGCATAAAATTACTTTTTGAATGTTTCGCCCACATGCTTTTGTATTGCTCTTTGAGCTTCAAGGAGGAAAGACATTCTTCTTGATATGCATAATTTAAAGTGGTTTTCTATTTCACACACAACCTCGGGTGTTTTTTAGGACAATAAAGTATTTGAACACTAAAGCTCCCAGATTAAAAAGAAAAAAATCTGTCCTCATATGTTCCTCTTGCAATCTGGCTGAGGAGGAATAAGTGTCACTGATAATCATGGGTACTCCACGGATAAGCCCTTTTCCCCCACACTTTTCAGCTAGAGCTAACTGGATTTTAGCCAGAAGATGCAGGTTTTTGAAAATTAAAGTCTTGGAATTTTCTGCTCCAACCCATTGATATTTGCAAAATCTCATGGGTGCCACCAGACATCATTTTGTTTCCCACTTGCTTTTCCTCTATTGACAGTGGCCAGAAATCAAGAGGATGCAGTAACCCAAACCTGATGGAGGTTTTGGAGTCCTTTAGCTCCTGCTCTTCACCATGAAGTCCAGCAGGATGTCCCAGTTCCTGTATTTTGCAGTAGATAAAACAGGGCTGGGCACTTGAGCATTGCCATCTGCCCTGTCTCATGGTTTGCAGTCCACTCCTGGCATGGCTTGTGTTCATCAGCAGGAGCTAAATTTCATCCCCACCATCATACAGAGAAGGACAGGAGATGCCCAGGCTCTTCAGGCCCATGTTTCTTTGGGTCAGCGAAGTTGCAGATGGAGTTAAAGGCAGCTAGTTGTGCAGTCTTGTTCTGATCCTGAACTGAGGCATTTTCTTTTTACTCATAGGAAATGTTCTGCAATCTTTCTCACTTCAAGGTGCCTCACTAGGCATGCAGTAGGGCAGGTCTGAGGTCCTTCACATCCATAAGTGATGTTCTCTCGGTGGCATAGAGGTACCATTTGCATTTCATGTTTCTGACTTGCTGACCCTGACCAATGCCTTTCTCATAGTATTTCAGATTCAACAGGCTCTAAGCATCCTTAAATAAAACTCGCAAAATTCAAGTTCCTAATGGCATGACAATTTATCATGAGAAAGAGATTAAATCCTTTTTCTCCTTTGAAGCCTTTTCCGCACCAGCCAGCTGCAGCCTAAAATTCCCTTTCTTCACAGAAGTTCTTCTCCTCCCTGCCTTTCTGTCAATAGTGCTGCAAGGGTTCACGGGCACCAACAACCCCACTGACACTGTCTGTTTGACTCTGTTACACAGAAAGGCAGGCAAAAGTGCTTATTGGAGTGGCCTGGAGCCTTTCCTTCCTGTTTTCCATACCCACTCTGATTATTTTTGGGAAACGGCAGCTCTCCAACGGGGAAGTGCAGTGCTGGGCTCTCTGGCCTGATGACTCCTACTGGATCCCCTACATGACAGTTGTGGCTTTCCTGGTGTATTTCATTCCTCTGATCATTATCAGGTAAGTCCGAAGCCCAGTCAGCAAATGTGTGGTGAAGGCTGTCAAGTCTGCAATCAGCTTAATGCTTTAATTTCTAGTCATTCATTACAATTTCTTTTCCATACCTGCTGCATAGCTGTTTTGGTTTCTATCACATAATACACAGGTCATTGTACTTGCCCTGGGTGTTCTCTGTGTGGTATTAACAGCCAGAAACATTTTTTCTGAAAAAAGGAACAAATCTCTAAGTGTGTCCACTTATCTCCACAGCTTCAGGCTTGAAAGATATATTTATAAACCCAGTATGAATATTTATCCATTATTACAGATAATTTTTATCCATTATTAAAGATAATTTTAATAGAAGAACAGGAAACTGCACTTAACACTAATTAAACTAAAATTAACTTGAAGTGCTCTTAAGCTTCACAGTACTCAACAAGGATTCCTTCAACAGGATTGGAAAAAAATCTCCAAGCGCTGAAGTTGCCAACTACTCCTAAAATATGAACAAATGTACTTCCTCCTCTTTTGTAATAGGAAACCTAAGCTGCAGATATTTGAGACTGATTTGCCTCAAATCACAATCTGCAGAAAGTGTATTAAACTGAGGTCAATCAATATCACAGACTGTGCTTAGTGCTCAGCCTCCCTCTAGAACACTGCCATTAGCTGCTGTGAAACAGAAGGTAGCTAGCCATGAGCAGCCACCAATGCAAAAGAGCAGTCAAAACCAGATGTGGAAGGGCAGTGAGGCTTCCTAACTGTGGGAATCCATAAAGAGTTTTAAAAAGCTGCAGAAAGCAAGCCTCAGAGACAAAACTGTGATTAGAGCTAAGCAGTAGCCATAAGATTGGTCAGCAGAAAAATTATGTAAGAAGTAGAAAAGTAAGGACAAATAGAACAATGGTCTGTGTATTAATGCTTGTCTAGAATAACTCCCTAAGCTGCAGAAAAGTATATCTAGTGAGATATGAAGAAGTTCTAAGCTTAATAATGGAGCTCTGTGCATTGTGTTTTAAGGCTTACAAGCAAGTATTGTATTCAAAATAAGCAAGCATTGTTTAACCAAAAGTACGTGTGCTTATAGTGATTAGATAGAACTACTGTCAATATGCTTTTGCTTTGTGTAATTAGTAAAAAAACTTTTTAAGTAAGTTGTAACATTAAGTTCTTGGTCTGCTGCCTGAACTGATGACGTCTTCCCATTGTCATAACCAAGCAATTAGACCGATGCTCGAAAAACAAACAGCTCAAGACAGGTTCCTACCAGTTCTGTCCCATTTGTGATTTGTACATAGCCCCCAGCCAACAATACTAACTGCTTCAAAATGCTGCCAGGGTCAGTGACAGTTCTCAGAGCCATTATTTTTCTTTCACTGGCAAGGTTACAATAGTATTTCTTGGTGTCCATCTCTCCTTGTCAGCAGCAAGCAAGACTTGCTGGGACTCCTTTTTCCCCCCCATAATTTGGTGCTGCTTGGACTCTGAGAGAAGAACTATTTTTGCAATGTCCCTTGCATTTATCTCCTGGTCCACCTGCTTTTCCAACAAGTGATGAGCCATGAGTCTCCCTCAGCTTCCTGCTCATTAGTACCCTGGCTGAGAGTGGGGTGGGCAGAGGCTGATCTCTTCTAGATGATGACAGGACTGACTACATTACCTTGAAGTTTATTACTGTTTTATCACAGAGGCTAAGTTCTGCAGCTTTCAATGGCAACAAGTTTATCTCTGATAGAATCAAAACCATGTGGTGCTTGAACTCATTTAGCTGCTTTTTGATACAGATTCAAAATGGACCAGTGTTGCTCCCTAGAGAGAAGGGATGATTTTTACACATTGCTCATAACATGTCAGTTCACTAAATCTTCAGGTTTTTTGTGCCAGATTGCATAGATATAATTTTTTAAAAATCAAGAATGTTCTCCTTAAAGAAAAGGATGAGAAGAAAGTCAAAATTACTCCCAAGTTATCCTTCCTAGGTGAGATCATTTGTCTGCATGTTTTCCTGTCTCTGAAAGCCAGCCTGGCTTTCAATATACAAAAAAAATATTCTTGGGAATATGTAAATAAAAATGTGGGTAGATCTGCAGCCCAGCAGTAGCAGCAAAAACAATAAACATACACTGCACTGACAAAAGGCAATTTAACAGTGAAAAGAAATGGCACTAGAAAATTTTGAGGCTGGCCGTTACTGTGAAAGGGGTTCTTTTATGAGCTTTCTCAAATAGGCAGCAGTTGGGAAATTCTAGCCAGCATCTTAAGTGTTTCAGGAAAAAAACCCCACAGCCTGCCCAGTTACCAGTCATTGCACAGGTGTGGGAAACATCCCTTTCACATTCTAGCATGCAGATTTGCATGGTTTCTGTTACAGATTAGCCACTCCTTTTACACGCCATCTATACTTGTTTGGCAAGAAAAGGCAAGCTACAGAGCAATAAATATTTCAGTGCTGTTGACATTTTGCTCCCCTCCTCCCTGCCAAAGAAAGATATTCAAACCAGATCAGCTCTGTGACTTGCTTTACAGTAAATCCCCAAAAGCAAGAAGGTGATGAAGACATGAGGGGAAAGTGAAAGGCAGTGAAACTGGCATTTCATGAGATTGCCCTGACATCTGAGACATGAATAAAACATACTAAAATTTTTGTGGCTTTAACCTAAAGCAACATTCACACAAGAAGTTTATGGCAGGACAGGAGCTAAAACCACTGGTTTTGGAGCCAGGAGCAGCACAGTGTCCATCACATGCCCAGAAACATTCCTTGTTTCAGTGTTTATTAACACAAATGCTCCTGTGTCCTTGCCAGCAGAAGTCAGATTTTTGACAGATCCAAAGTGGTGTCTGGCACTGGAAGGAAGGAAGGGGAGTGGTGCAGGGAAGGATTTATTTTGTGCTTATTTATTTCTAGTTGTCAGTGATACTTTTTCTTCAGAACAGAGAGGATTGTCTAAAACCACAGAAAAAGAGGATTAGCATCAGGGCAAGGTCAGCATAGACATTATGAAAAAAGCCATGCAATTTGGAAGGAAATGGATATTTTTTAGAACACTTTTTTAAGTCTCAAGCATAAAAGTGAAGGTTGCAACTTCCCAGCTGATATATCTGTAAAACATCTGGCAACATAGCCTGAAGGTGTGACATCTATTTCTTTAAAAATCATTGGCAGCCCAGGAGTTTGAAGCTAATCCACCTGATGTGGCTGTAGCATACAAATACTCTGGTAAGCAGTTTGTGGCTCAAGAACAGCAGTGGCTGTTAACACCCCCAGGGATTTGGTTTCTCTGTAAAAGTTTTGTTCCACCTAATACTTTCTGATGCATAGGAGGTTTGATGATAAACAAGATGCTATTTCATAAGGGTGAGAGAGATCACATATGTTCCAGTGGTGTGTTACTCTGACAAGAGATTATTTATAAAATGAAAGGTGTTATTTAATAAATTTAGGAAGGCATTTTTTTAAATTTAATGACCTTTAGCCGAAAATGTTATTTAAAAATGCCACGACATAAAAATGGAGAGAAGATCCATAAATGTGTAACTGAAAGGTCAAGGATCAGCAGAAGAAGCCATGAATACATATAAGCCAGAAGCTAAGTCATACACCACACTTTGTGAGGAAGCAAGGCAGTGTGCACAGAGAGAAAAAAATAAAACCTTTTCTGCAAGAATTCATATTGTTTGTGTGTGCAGCTACTTTATTTTCTCTGCTGGGCACAGAGAGAAAAAAATAAAACCTTTTCTGCAAGAATTCATATTGTTTGTGCAGCTACTTTATTTTCTCTGCTGAAGCAGTCTGATTTAGCTGCATGGCAGGTGTCTGATGCAATGTGGGACACTGGCTGGCAGAGTTAATTCTTAATTAGTTCTGCTGCCTGAATCTGCTGAAAACCTAACCTCTAGAGCAAAGCAGTTCACTGATGACAGCACTTTTTCTGGTGCTATTCATCTGAAGTGCATACAAAGGATAAAATCTTACTTTTCAGGTGCAGGAGTTAATTCCACACTAGATATGCTGCTTTGGCTGAGCTGTTTTCACTTGTTACAGTTCAGACACCATCATCTTTTAAGCTTCTCCCATCCAGCCCTCAGCTCTCTCTGTAGAGCTGATCTCACGTGTTCCTGACAGCCTTCAACTAACTCACAGGAGTTGTGTTATTCATAACACTGCAGCCCATGGAATGAATTATTTAGCTGATAACCTTATGCTCACCATGGAAAACCCTTCCACTGACAAGCTAAACCCCAGATGTGGTGTAAGCAACTCTACAGATTCCAAGCCAAAACATGAACCAGAAGAACACAGCATTCTCCCCCTCACCCCCTGCTTTTTTAAAAAAAATGTATGTATAGAAAGGTAATTTATGAAGAAAACTGCAACAGCCTGAAAGACCTTAATACTTCTGAGGTTTATTCCTACCACTTCTTCACAACTAGAGAATCAGCAATCAGTTATCAAAGAACTTGTGGGGTTTTTTTCAGCAAGATTTTTTATCTGATTATAATACCAATGAACAAGACCTGAATAATGAAAATGAAAAGTTATGATTGGTATTTTTAACCCAAGTGTATGGATACCTTTGAGAGCTGAAAGAAGTGGAGAATATTTGTTCTTTTCATATTAAAACTTCCCTTGTCCTCACTGTCTTGGTGTTGTACAAGAAGAACCACAGATCCTGAGTCAGGCATTTCTATGCAGTGCTTAAAAATTTGGCCCGTTCCCTCTTATTTACATTATTCTACCACTTGTTCTGCAGTTAATATTATCAGCCTATGAAACCACAGAAAGATTAAAAAAAGTAATTAGGGAACCTGCAGTAATTAGTTCTCTCCTCTTCTGGGAGAAGTGTCATCAGCTATAACCTAAGCCTTTTCTCCTATTCCGAAATACACCAAGCAAAGCTCAAATTGTATCTGTGACTGTTGAAAAACCTCTGGGGCATTGTTGAACAGAGGTTAAATATGGCTCAAATCATGATTACACACTGCTCTCCTGCAAATATTTGCACCTGGGCCCCTCAGAACCTGTGATGGGGAGACAGAAGAGCTACTGTGTTTCTAGTCTGCATTGCTGCTCTGTGCCAAACCATAATTATGTTCTGGCACTTGAGTATCCAGAAATTCAGAGTTTTTTAGCTGTTATATATTGCTAAATATATTTTTTATATTTTAATATTATAAATATAATACATAGACATTTACTTAATATAATTGCAAACTCATGTTTAAAAAAAAAAATTGCTAAAGCTCCTCTTGAAGCACAGAGGAAAAAGATATCCATCTGCTGTTTAAAATCTGAACTCCAAAGAGAGCATTTGCTTTGGAGCAGCTGAAAAATAATTAGAAGAGGAAAAAAAAAAAAACACCAAAATCAGCTAAAAGGAAAAATATGGAATTAAACCCAAGGCATTGCAATGAAATAAAAAATAGATTAAATAAAAGATATTTTTCTGAATTAAATCAAATAAAGGGACTGGAAATGCCATTAATAAAAATACCAAAGGTCATTTTTTGAACTTGATTCAGTGAGGCTATTCTTTTTGCAATTTCCATTTCTAAATAAAAACCCTGGCTCTTGCACACACATTCTAGTATCTGTCCATCTCTGGTTTGTTCAGATGAGGTTACTTTTCTCTTTAGACAAACAGCACTGTAAATTAGCTGCCATAAAACAAAGCAGCCACATCACTTTGCACAAATAAAGCATAAGGAAAAATAGGCAATACTGGATGATAAATAGAAGTAATTAACAGGGAGCTTAAGTGCACTTTTGCCATGGTAAAGGCTCATTTTACTAGAAAATACTGAGGCTGCGTGGGACGCCATCAGAATGAAATTATTTATTTCAAAAAAATCTACATTTAAAGAGCAGGCAGATCAATAACACTTATGATTGTTAATATCTGTACATAGCTTTACCAAAACCATTGGCTTTTTTTTTAATAGCCAATTTTGCTATTAAAAAAAAGTGGTCTATGAATTAAAAATACAGATGGGGTGTGATTATTCACAGTTGCATTTGTATGACTAACCATAAGTTTTATATTTAAATGAATAAAAAATGTTCTAATTACCAATGAGGCATATTAAACAACACCATTAACTAATAGCAGCCTATGATGAACATGCCTCTTAACCCTTTAGAATCTGGATCAAGCTAAATTGTTTTTGGAGATGCGAAGAATTTTATTTCTGAGATACGCCCATAATGTGAGCCATGTTTTTGTATTTCCCTCCCACCTCTCAAGATATGCATTTTATCAGGGTTAGAAAAATCATCACATTTTCAGATCAACAGCATGTCCTTTCTATCCTGTGGTCTTCAAAGCCTGAGCAGCTACTTTTCGGAACAGCTTGGATGAATTTTCCATGCAGGTTTGACTTTTCCACCTTTGTACCCTTTCATTCGCCTCTCACCTACAGCCTGGGCTGGAAGATCAATGCGTTGTGCACTTACAGACACAAAGAAGCCTGACAACACCTGGACCTCAAGAGCTGCACATCACATCTCCCAGTGCTTTCAGTGGAGACAAGGACAAGCAGCATGCAGGCGTGTCACATGGGGTAAAAAAAGAGCTTTGTGGCAGTGTGTACTACATGCTTTTACATCTTGGCAGTGAAGGCTGAGCAGTTCAGAGTCCAGAGGAAGGGAACAGAAATTAGGATATGGTTGGAATGGTGCAGACTATTTCCAAACACTCCTCTGAATACCAGTTTGTCATCTGTTCCCTGCTACTCTTTGCTCATCTGCCACTTCATTTTTCAAGTGAGAATTTCTTTGACATTTGACCAACCTCTGCATCCTCCTCCAGCCGCCTTTTACAAGAAAGAAAGGAGCTACAAATGTATTCTGAAAAAAGCTAATTTTCCCTCATAAGAAAAATATTTCTCTTCCATAGGAGCCCTGTTTTTACTTCTGTGGCTTTGAAACACACATGCAGTTGCCTGTTATGAGCCTATGCTTTAGATAACTAATTTCTGGGAAGTCTGATTTCCCAGCTCCATGTCAACCTTGCTAGGGAAAAAAAAAAAAAAAAAAAAAAAAAAAAAAAAAAAAAGAAAAAATAAAAAGGGAGTTCTACTATGAACTGGAGTCTGAGAGAGATCAGATCATAAATGAATAATGGTGGCTGGCAGAAGCACTGCTCAGAAGTTTACCTAGCATGTAAACTTTTCTGACACCCACCCTGAGCAGCTTTACACCACCTCTGGTCCACTCCTGATAAGGTAGGCTCCACTGGCTTCAGCTACAAACAAAAGAAAGGTGAACAGAGGCAGAACAGCCGACACAGATCCACTATGGTGGCAGCACTTTATAAGCTGCTGGATGGAAACAAGAATTCAACTTCCCTCTGGAGTTCTAAAAATTAAGAATTCAAATGAATCAGCATGTAATCTCATAGGTGACATGCCAATGAGAAGACAGATGATCTGGCAAAAGACATGCCCCTACCAGACTCTGCAGCCAAGAGGGCAGGAATTCTGGAGTCAAAGGGAAAGCGAGTGAGAAGCCTGGCTTCATAATTCAATCCTTACAGCATTTGGCCAAAAGTAGGGAGTCTGAATATTTTGACTACAGAGTTAGACTCCTTTGTCCTGATGCTTAAGAAACTCTGAATATTTCCTGCTCGACAAAGGAAAATCTGCATCAGAGAGGACATTGTCTCAGCTGCAAATAAAGAGGTCAGGCTAGAGACAGCAGGCTAGGAAGAAAATAGAAACAGGACTTTTAAGAGTGAGCTGAACAAATTTTTAAGATGACAACAATTATCATTATAATACATTCTGATTCATTGGAACAATCAAAGGAGAAATGGTACATGAATTTTCCACCATTGTCTGTAAAAAGTACAAAGAAACTCTCGAGTTTCAAGTGTATGAGCTGTTAAATAAACAGGCTCTTGAAAAAAAACAAACCAGGAGATAAAGGAAAATGTTCAAATCAGCTGGGAGCCAAGCTGGACTTTTGAAGGGATTAAGGAGAGCAAGTTGTAGTCCACAGCAGATGCAAGCAAACCCCTCACTGGGCAAGGATGCGACTGCTCCGCTGCACAGCCCAGACTGCACCTTGAATTTACAGCTCTCACCTACTGAGCCTGGAAACCAGATGGCCCAAACTTCCACAGAAAGGGAAGCCTCCAAACTTTCATAGTTTTTTGAGCACAAATTCTGCCTTGGCAAGCATGTCTAGCAATTGAGGGTGCTGTAGCAAAGACTCGTATATCAGTCTGAAAGGACTAATAAGTGTAATGCCTCTTCTGATAACAGAAATAATCCACATAACAGTAAGACACATTTTTGCCTCCATAAAATACCCTGAAATTATGTCCTTTGTTGCACCTTTTTCACATAAGGACCACTAAGGTTTATGACAATTAACATCCTCAAGCAGGCATGGGTTTAAACAGCTCTTCATCTTGAAGGAACTATTTTTATCTATTCTATATTAAATCAGTAGAACTCCAGACTGGCTATTGCACAGGGAAAGTCCATAACTATCCAAGGTCACTGTGTACTAGGGCACTTTTCATCTTTCCTATTGAAAGTCTGTAAACCTCTCTAAATATGCAAATTGTGGTGGATCTTGTTTTGAATCATACTCAATCTGGTTTTGAATCTAACTCTTCCCATTTACCTGACACTTCAGTCCTCCATGATTTCCACCAGTGGACCCTGAGACCCAAAACTGAGCACTGCTGTATTTATCTGCATTTCTCATGGATATTGCCCTTATCAAATTCCCCAGGGTGAAATTTTGTTCACCAGCTTCATACCCAAAAAGTAACAGCAAAGTTGAAGTACACATACAGCAAAACCAGGTCCCTCCCTTGCTTACCTCATCAGAGCTAGTGCTCCAGGGCTGACACTCACACTGGATTTGGCATTGGCTGTCTCAAAATCACCAATGAACTCTTGCCTGAAAGATTTTTGGCCAAGTCACTGCATTCCTCTGATCCTCAGATTTGACATCTACAAAGCCAGGACAACCATAAGGACTTCCATGGTGAAAAGTCTTCAGATCTTCTTCTGAAAAATACTGTGGGAGAGTCATATCATATTTATTATTATTATTGTCATTTACTATTATTACTCCTATGCAGTCCCACCACCTCTGTGAACTCCTTACACATAGGCAAATATATTCTTAGAGCACAAATGATGAAGTTGTCTGTTAAATTTACTGTCCCTAATAGCAGCAACTTTTCCCCTTCTGCAGTGTCATATACTCAATCGTGATTCGAACCATCTGGATGAAGAGCAAAGCTCAGGCTGTCATCATATCCAGCTGTCCTGGTGAGTCTCAGCATACCTGTGACTCCAGCTTTGTGATTCAATTCCAGCTGATTCTCACAAATCTGGGAGTGCTTGGACATGCACATGTCATGTTAGGCCCCCATCACTGCAGTGGAAATGGGGTTTCTGTATTTGTTCATTCATAACTCATTTCTACATTATTTACCTTCTTTCCTTTGGCACTAAATTCTCTTTAGAGACATAATAGGAAACATATGTGAGAAAATGAATAAAAAGTAAAACCTACTTATTCTAGAAGTTAGAGTTCCTGTTCCTAGAACTTTGTCCATTTCCAGAACAGCTTTTTCTAGCATATACTTGGCAACACTTTTTCTGTATCTTCAAATGTCCTTGCAAATCTAAATTTTGCTCAGGATCAGAAATTCCTGGCCACAGAAAGCTATAAAATGATCAGAGTATTCCATCCCAAGACTACACGTCTCAATGCTTCAAGTAGACCTACTCATCTTACTTTTACCCTTTTTTTATTTTGGGTGGCTCAGGTTCCTATACTTGGCAACACTTTTTCTGTATCTTCACATGTCCTTGCAAATCTAAATTTTGCTCAAGATCAGAAATTCGTGGCCACAGAATGCTATAAAATGATCAGAGTATTCAATCCCAAGACTACACATGCCTCAATGCTTCAAGTAGATCTACTCTGCTTACTTTTACCCTTTTTTATTTTGGGTGGCTCAGGTTCTGATTGTCCAACTTGAGCAGACTTGCAAGTGTCCAAATTTCAGGAACTACTGAGGTCCCAACTGACACCAGGGAAGGATGAGATTGTGTATTCCTGTCCTGCCTGTCAAGGTACACACTGACACATCCACACACCAGTCCTATTCTTTCACTAGCTGAACTGCTCTTTTCCCAGGTGGCAAAACCTCCCGTGGCTACAGCAGTCGTGGGTTCATATCCAGGGCGAAGGTGAAAGCGATCAAGTACAGCATTGTAATTATCCTTGGTAAGTGAAAAGCCCCAGAGCTGGTAGCTAAGGAGGATGCTGACATTAGGAAGCTGCTTTTCCTCAGCAACCTCTATCATCAGCAGACGAAGTAGATGGCTTGGAGAAGGAACTTTATTCAGACACCTGACTTGCCTTCTGATCTTGTCCTTCCCTTCTTTTCTGGCTGATATGTTTCTATTTTAGGTATCTGACATAACCCTTGAATTAAATTAGATGCACAGTCTCTCATGTCCTTAAAGAAAGTAAAGCGACAATGTCTAAAAGAAACAAAGGAGGAGGTCATCTCTTTCCTATCCAGACTGCCAAAAGATTTGGCAACTGAGTTGTCTTTTAGGCTTAGAGACACTGTATGGCCTGTGAGCTGCTGGGGTTGTGCAAGTGAGAGAAGAAGGGTGAGATGTGCAGCAATTGTATTTGATGTCACAGGTGTGTTGCCTGCTGAGATGGAAAGAATGAACTCTCCTTTCCCAACTGGGCAGCAGATGACTTAGTGCAGGTGTTCTCTGTCTCCCAGGGAAATTGCATTATTCTGATGCAATTAGGAGGCTGATATTCTATCTCAATAAAGAAAACCAGCATCACACAGAGCTTGTGATTAGCTGCCAGAGACATGCAGGAAAGGAACCAAAGCTGTTTACTCCCAAGGGCTGACAGTCATCCCTTGACACTGAAAAAGAGATTGCTTCTCTTTCCAACACCGTGCAAAATTCAGATTGGAGAATATTGTGATAACAGCCACTTGAGTAGCTTAGCTCACTGTCTAGTGGCAGCATCTGCAGACGTGAGAGAGGCCAGTGTGATTCATACTTTTCAGAAGCCCAAGAACAGCTTCTCTGTGTCTGAACTTTTCTGCGTGGCAATCAGAGAAAGCTTTTGGCACACACAACTACTATTGCAAGGCCATCAGATATTGAGAGCTCACATGGATGCTTAAGTGTTTCAGCAGACCTTGATAATATTAGGCACCCAGCCTCTCTTGATGTGCAAACAGATTGACACCTAACATCCATGGATTTTTTTAAAGCCGCTTAAAGTTCTGCATAGTGAGTGCTATGATCCACACTCTGGCACTGTGTATTGCTATTTTGCATATATTTATGCATAGACACTTCCTGTTTGGTTGTTCTGAAAAACAGGAAGGGAGCTTACCTCTTTCTTGCACTTTTAGTGAGCACTCAGCTCACTGCCAGCAAAGAAATTCTGAATAATGAGACAAAAAACAGGCACAGAATTACTCTGCTGTCTCATCTGGGTCAGGATGTCATCATGTGTCTGATTTCACAATTACCTGTATGTTTGCAACCCAGGTACTTATAACTTAGTTGAGTGAACTGCCTGTCCCAGCATTTCTATGCAAATCCTGAATCAAAAGCCTTTGTGAGAAGAGACAGATTTATTCCCTATGCCTGCAAATAAAGCTAGATCCATGGCTAACCATTTTCTCTGCCACCTCTGAACAAAAGCAGAGGCTATGAGCAGTACAGTCCTCTCTTCCCTTCCTCAAATTCATCTCTCAAATGGCAGCACAGGAAATTAGGAGAATCTTCCTGCACACTCCATGTACACAGCGTTTCCATCCAGCATGCCGAGTGACGTGTTGGTTTGCCATAATGCAGTGTGAAAGAGTGTCATTCCTTGCTCCTGGGTGTCTGAGAACCTTATTTTAATAGGTGGCTGTGACAGGCAGCGCTGTCACAGAGCAGCACTTTGGCTGTGTGTACATTTAGATTGGCTGCTCACTCTGGGGACCATTAAAAGAGCACTTCACTATAACTGATGATGCTTTAACTGGCTACCTATTTACCCTTTATGTGTTGTGTAGTGTTCAGAAGTGTCTCAATATGTCTAGAGGGAGCACTCTAAACACTTAAAGAAACACACGTAATATATTTTATAGGCATTAAAATAAAAATAAAGACAAATAAAAGCACAGCCTAATAACTATTCTCTTAAATAAGATCCTGAACAGGAAGAGATTGGGTTTTTTTTCTTTTTTTTCATGAGCAAATATTTATGTGTTATGACAGTTGCTCCATGAGTGTGTAATTACCCCCCTAAATTGCTAAACTATCCAATGTCAAGCTCCTCCTCTCTCTGTCTCGTCTGCAGCATTTATTCTCTGTTGGAGCCCTTACTTTCTGTTTGATATCCTGGACAACTTCAACATACTGCCTGAGACCAAAGAACGCTTCTACGCGTCTGTGATTATTCAGAACCTGCCAGCCTTGAACAGCGCCGTCAACCCTCTCATCTACTGCTTCTTCAGCAACAGCCTCTGCCCCCCTTCTGAGTATTGCTCCTTTTCTGTCACTCTGACTACCCCTAAGAAGGGAGGGAACACATAAACACAGTCCCTAAATAGATTAACTATTTTTGACTCCTTTAATTCTGACCATTCTTTTTTTTTTTTTTTTTTTTTTTTTTGTAGGGAAAGAAGGACTCAAAGGCTGGGGGGCACTTTCAGGGAAAGGAGTGATGGAGGGCAGGAGATGCAGGTCCTGTCAAAACCAGAATACATCTAGCACGGACAATGTTCTGCAAAGCCACAGTGGCACCTGTACAGAGGAAAACAGAGGTCCCCCACAAGTCCTGTGCACCATGAAGTGAATGGACACTGACTGGCAAGAGCCTGCACCTTGTGCTGCTGTGCACCTTACAGCACATGTGCTTTGGGTGGGCACTGCAGCCTCATCCATGCACACTCCAGTGCCAAGCTCAGTATGAGAGGTTTGCATGCCTCTGTTGTGAGGTTTCATCTTGACCCTCTGTTTAAAGCAGCTGTAATCTATGTGCTCCAAACAGAAAAAAAAAAATTGTAAATGGTGTCTAGTCAGAGTCTTCTCTATTTTTCAGGAGTCACTGAAAGCCATCTACTGCACCATCTGGCTCTTATAACCAATAGAGTGTTTACAAGCAATTACAGAGCAAGGACCCCAGCTAAAATGAAAACACGGGCACTTTTCCAATGAAAAAACACCATTGTCACTCTCTGTAATTACATCTGGGTTTCATACAGAGCCACTTACAAAGTCATAGCCAGAGAAGAGGGGAATGGATGGCTGGGATACTGCCTGCCACATCACCAGCTTCTCAGATAACACCAGCAGCACCGTCCCTGTATCTCTTCCTCCCCTTCCAGTGTGTTATGTCCCTGCTGTCCTACCTTGGCTCATCAGCGGCACCCCAGTGTCCCAGCAGGACTCACACATGACACATCTGGGCAGCCATTTATTTCTGGGCTACTGGAGAATGGTTCACCAGCCCTCCCCACATACAGATCCTCCCTCACTTCTGTGCCAAAGACCCTGAGAAGCTTCTTCAGGATCCTACGGGGAGCTGCCATGCAGGGCACTTAGCCAGTGCAGATCTTTCTCACCACCCACACGGCAGCATTTCCCTACCCCATACCACTGTAAATCATCCCTGTCACTTAAATCATGCAGGGAGCCACACACATCTTTGCACAAACTCAGAGCTGGAAAAAGACCCAAGCAAACCCCAAAACTCGAATTATGTTTAGAAAAAATAATCTGTTGATGGTCCAGTCTTGTGAACTCATTGTAGTTTTCACAGAGGACCAATGGTCAGGCAGAATTTTGCTGCTGAGTGCCCAAGCACCTGGGCATCCCCTTTCCCCAGCCCTCTGGGTATCTTCTCACCACACTGTTCTCAAATGTAAGAAAAAATTTCTGAAGCAGGTGGTGGGGAGTGATATTAACTTCAATGTTCATTTTACTGCAAGGCAGCTTGAAGTGTTTGTATTAAAAATGCACTCTAACCAGCTGTATGGCAACTGAGTTTGTTTCCCCTCTGTGAAAAAATTATTCTTATTTAAGTGGACTCAGTTTAAAAAAGGGTTCTTATTATTATGATCTTTTGCAATGAGTTTGTTCCCTGTAAAGCAAGAACTGAATAAAATTTATTTATAATTGCCTATATTACAAAAATACATTTTCCTAAGTAGAAGACATATAAAATCATGGGGCTTTATGTTCTCAGGAAAATAAATAAGGTATCTCTTTTTATTACCATGAAGTTCTGTTATTAGACTCTGTCTAAATTTTGCTACTGCTTAATTAAAACTATGAATCTGCAGCAACCTTTACTGCAGCGACCTTGGATAGGCTGCATATAAGAACAAGACAATATTTTCTTCCCATGGGCATGTAATAACTTTACTAAAATTGGATTGCTTTGTTTAAGCTTCATAGATTGTAGATTTTAGCTTTTTCATCTGATAAATGTACACTCTCTACTTACTTTTGAACAATTAATGTAGTTTTTAGACTTAATACCTGGAAATCAGATAACATTTCTGAGCAGTACTTTGATTTGCAAATTTAGTATGACTCAATCCCACTAAAATTTACATAATAGTCACTGGGGTCACCACATGAATTATCCCATCCATCTAAATTAAGCATATGCATGAGTTAATGTAGGACTCTGGACTGAAATAAAGTCATTATCAATCTGTTTTCAAAGAAGCAGCTTTTTGTTTCATTCATTACTGTACTATGTACCATTTACAAGTTGTTCTTATCATTTTTCCTCTGGACATGATTGTGATGCCTTTCCTCATATGAGAATCCTTCAGTTTAAATGGCCTCACATTGCTTTTGTCTGCATCCCTTCCAAGTGCTTAAATACAGAAATAAATAATTCATCTTATTTTCTATGCTGTTTTCTTACTGTGCAATAGATGGCATTTTACTTCCTTTTTGTATTCTCCACATGTTCTGTTGTAAAGCTGCGTTTTTCCATTAGTCTGGAAAACACTTGCACGGTCCTCCTTTGTCTCTGGGGAGAGAGATGTAGGGAATTTCATCTGTCTCCAGTTGGTTTCTTATTCCTTGCCTTCAACTCACCCCACATCTTTTGACTGTTTAGCTGTTTAAAAGTGCCAGAGTTGGTCTGACAGACCCCACACTTAGGAGGAGGCAGCAAAAGTCACTGTCGAGGTCTGACTGCCCAGAGATGGGGGCTGGACACAGCCAAAAAAGGGCACCCAGCTGGCTTGTCCATGACAGCCCAGGAGCAGCTCTGGTTTTCAACAGCTTTAACACTTCAAGAGGCATCTGTGAGATCCTTCGGACATTCCCACAGTGAACAGAAATATTCATATGCATGACTGCTAGGACATAAAGCCTTGTATGATGATAAAGTCCTGTTTGACTGTAGAATTCTGAGAAGCATGAAAAATCAGAAACTCATCTCTCAGAGAAGTCACATCAAACAGCTTAGAACTGGGATACTTTCCAAACTAACACTAATCCAAGAAAACATGCATGCTTTCAGTGCAAGTCTCAAATAAAATCTGAATGAGAAAGCTATTTAATTCTCTTTGGAGTATTTTTGATGTAATTTAAAGTTCAGTTTTCTTGGACCAGAGTTCCACCTCTTGCTAAAAGTGTAAAGCTGCATTTTGTCTTTCAATTTGGTTTTGCCTCGGAAATTTCTGTCTCCTCTTTTTGTTTTTACTTTGAAAAAACTAATGCAAAGCAGCAAAATTCAACATTGCCCATTGTGACCATTGAAGAACATCAAAGCAAAACTCTGCCTAGAAATATGTTTCACCCTCCTGCACACTGCCAAACCAGTGCTTAGAGGTGCAGACATTATCAGTCCAAGAAAATAAAAATATAGCCACTACTTTGTTGTTTGTAAGGTTGGGGCTCTTTTTGAAAGTTATTTTTCATAGAAATATAATTACACTTTTTGAGATGACACAGGATGATTTGACTTCCACAGAGTAACAACAAAAAATATTCTGACACATCTACACATCTCCAATTTTTGTGAGGCATAAATGAATGAACGTCCATACTCTTCAAGTTATCTAAGCATTTAAATATGAATTGTTTTCATGGGAATTAAGCACATGTCATTATGGCAGTATGCTTTTGGAGTATAAGGTATTGCAAGCATCAGACACCTCCTAACAGCAGTCTCTAAAGACACAAAAGCAGAAGTAAAACCAAGTCTAATACTTATTTTAGTTCAAGCCCTGACATTTGAATAACAGAAATCTTTATATCTATTGAGATTACATATTTTCTAGACAATACAAGATGCAGGAAATTAGGAAAATCCTCTCTTAAACCATAGGGCCCTATGAAAAAGAAATGAAAAATAACCCAACTGAACACCCCACAACATTGACAAAACATTTCTCAAGATATGAGTATTTTGGGGTAACTGTGAGCCAAGACAACTGAGCTTGGCTCTCTTTACAATGAAAACCCTCGCTGATAAGAGGCCTCAAGTTCAGCATCCCTTCAGAAGTAGTAATCCTCTGTTTGTGCAGATATGTTTCAAACAAGAACACAGAAAGTATCACAGTACCTGCCACTTCACTTTACCCTTCACAAGGTCTGCATTTACTCTTCAAAAACATTTGATGGAAAAAGCACCATAAAAGAAAGAAATTGTAGAAAGCACACTAAAAAAAAATAACTATATACATATATGCTGTGGTCACAAGTGCCTTTTGTCATCAAGAGAGGAATCATTCCACAAATAAAAATAAACTAGTGTAGAAGCTATCTATGTGTACCTTCCAATACAGGGCCTTGGTGCTAACAGGAGAAGGGATTTTACTTTATCCATCAACCTTGAGAAATGTGATTAATTTGTAGAGTAAATGTAATATTTAGTGAAAGGTAAAATATGCTTCATTTTCTTTAGCAAACTAATTTATTTTACACAGTGTTTCATTTAGATAAGCATTATAGCTGAATGGTTCATTAAATAATCTTTTGTCATTTTTGATGGCATCTTATTCTGAGTATGCATAAAATATGGGGGTAGAGGGTTAGGCATACAAACATATGCATGAATTTACAAATAGACATTGCTGATTCCTCAGGCTGAGTTGGTTACAGTGGTACATAATTAGAATCTTAGTTGTTGATTTAGTCTCAAGCAAGGCAAATGAAAATGGGTTAAAATTCAGTAATTCTAATAAACTCAATAAAAATGAACAGTCTGAGGCATCACACAGAAGGATGACCTTCAGGACTCAAATAGCAGAAATGTGGTAAGTACAACACAATGTTAACAATCAATTACATCAATTACGAGAAATTCTGTTGTAAATTGGGAACTCTTCAGCTGGAAATGTCTGAAGAGAAGAAAGCCTTGAACATCCTCAGCCAGAGGATGCCTGGTTACCAGCACCACCATAGCCACTGGGGTCAGAGGGCTAATATGATCTCCACAGGTATCTGGTGAAGCATTTGTCAGAAGAGCTCTAAGACTGTGTGAGTGTTACAGTTGTTCTCTGATGAGAGCACTCAGTGTTAAACAAGAGAAAGAGGGAACATGGAAAAGAACAATCTGAGCTTTTGGTTTGTTGAGGCTGGTAAAATGGAAAGCTGAAAAGGGATGTTTCTGCTGCCTATTAAAGATGATAATGTCAGTGGGAAAAGGAGGAAAAGGAAAAAAACTACTTAAATACATAAGTCTGCAACAAACCCTGCCCCTGGAATAATCTCATTATGAATAAATTCCTCTAATACAGTGATCAGCCTA